CTGCACCCCCACCCAGCATCCCATGTTCAACGAGGACCGGCTTTGTTGACGTGGATCGCACAGTTAAAAGGGAAACGTGGTGAAACTTGATTTATTTCGCACCTGCACTTGTCCTGCTCACGAGATGCTTATTACGGTGACCTGAAGTCACTTCCGAATCCCCAGGTGCTCTCTGAACTATCTGGGAAAGATGAACTTGTGCTCAGTTGCTCAGTCGCTCAGGCAGGTGTTTGTGCTTAGTGTATCTGATTGGGTTCTGGTTCTTGGAAAACAAGTTAATCCACAGGGATGTGTGGTTTCTTTATGACTCAGAACCTTTGGTTCATCTGAACGTTTTATAAAAGTGTATGCCCCGACCATGACAAACAGGATTAAAATTCCTTCCATGCAAACAGTAAATTCATTCATGTTTCCACTGTGCATTTATACCCAGGTCACATTTCGTAAAGTGTTTGTGTGTTTGCTTTTCTCTCACTATTTGTTGCGTCCTCAGCAGCGGCCTCCGAGCCCCTGTGTTTACCTTTCCCAAGGCAGATGTGCTTTCCCCACGGGGCCTTAGAGTCACCGAGGGACTTGCCCAAGCCCACATGAGCATTTTGTGTAGATTTTAACTTTGGGGCTTGGTTTTAAGATCTTCTGAGTAAATTCACGAGTATCATTTTTTTTTAATTGCATATTTGAGATTTCCTATTCAAAAATGAGTATGATCTGACCGACGTATATTGATGCCTTCTCTGTATACTAGGATATTCGGGGGGAATTGTAAGGACTTCAGGAAGCTTATAAGTAGCATGAGTTGGGGACAGTTTATACACAGCAAAGAAGATAACTGACAGTGCTGGGTTTTAATAAATTGGGGAGAGGAGTGGTGTGGCCTCGTGGTGAAGGCCTGGGAGCTGGGTGATCTGGACAAAGTAGTTGATGGGGAAGGGGCTGGAGGATGGGGGGGGATTTGGAGGGACGGAGGGAGAGCATTAGAGGCAGGGCAGACAGGATTCTTGCTGACCTGGCTGGTAACATCGACTTTCTCCAATTTTTCCCTTAAGTTATGTAAGTAGGCACTCCTGGGTACCTTATCCAGACTGTATATGGAAGCCCTTTGACATCAGGGTTTAGTTGAAGCCCCTGTCTTTCACTTCCCTTCAGTCTCAGAGCTCTCTGGGCTGGATGGGGGTGGAGTGGGGATCCCACATAAACAGGGACCTGCAGGTCTGCGCCACGGGGAGGAAGTAAGACACCTGCGCTCCCCTCCCTAGAACCTGTTATGGAGCGTGGGCTGCACGGGATGGAGGAGGCTGCCTGAAGCTTTGTCTCCACCCCAGCCTTTCTGGGGCCAGTTGGGCAGAATGGAGCCATCTCTGGGTTTTACAAAGAAGAAGGGGCACGGCTGGTTTCTGGGCTTTCCCTCGTCTTGCCATGATTGACTTCCTGTACCCTCGACTCTCTGTTCCCAGAGCTGACTGCAGCAAGGTGTCAGGAAGGAATCTTCCTCTCAAGCTCTGAATGCGTCATAACCCTTTCTCAAATGCCGGGTGTGTAGGCAGGGCTTGGATTTCAGGTCAGATTGCAGGCAGGATATATAAGTAATAATTGGTTTCTGGCCAGAGGGACATCATAAACTTCCTCAAATAATAAAAATTAAAAAAAAGTTGAAAGGGGAACTTTGGTTATGGGGAACTGGGGTTTTCCCTAGAGATTTCAGAGCAGCTGTGTGCCCCATCTGGGTTTCTTCTGATCGTTCTAGCTCATTCCAGAGGTGCCCTCCGGATCCGACTCTGTCAGCTCCTCCGCCCTCTCTGGATTGATAGTGTGTGACAGTCTTTGTTTCTGAGGCCACCTTCTGGAAGGCTCACACCCGGAGTGGGGCATGTCTGGCGCACAGGTGGGTTAAGAGGCTGGGCCACCCCCATTCCCGACCGCTGCCTCTCGCTGTGGTCTGACAGCATCTTACCAGAAACTCCTCCCACCCCCAGGAACACGGGCTCCCCTCGGGGAACTGCTTGGCACGGCAGCTGGACCTGGCCTGGGGGGACTTCGGACCCTTAGTTGAGTGGCTTTACGAAGAGCTACTCAGGCCCAGAGGCATTTGAAAAGAGATGAAATTTCAAGCCAATTATTTTCCACTTAGCATTGCTTTTTAACTTCAGAAGGGTTATTTGGGTGATTGGACTTGTATAAAAAAATTAGTTAAAAGTCTCTTTAAGCCAAAAGACAATAGAGATGTCACAGGACTTCGTTCTCAAGATATGAAATTGCTGGATTGTTTTCCTTTGGTAACTGAAGCCAGAATTCAGTGTTCTCTCTAATTCCTTTGGATTCCTTGTTCTTGAAAAACTGTTTTGCCGGTTCTACAGGCAGAGGAGACTTCGTCCTTCTAGGCCTCCCTTCGCCCTGTCCTGAGCCCCTGCAGCTCTAGTGCTGACTGCCCCATTGGTGCAGGCGCGAGAGCCCTGAGGGAAAGGACGGGTCTCCTTGGGACCAGAGAGTATGGTGACGCCATTTGGTCTATTTAATTTTTTTTTTTTTTTTGTGGTAAAATACATATAAAATAGAATTACCCTCTTACCCATTTGTAAGTGTACAGTTCAGTGGCGTTAAGCACATTCGCACTGTTGTGCAGCTGTCACCGCCATCCATCCACAGAACCTTCTCATATCCCCGAACTGAAGCTCTGTCCCCACTGAACACTAACTCCCCCTGCCCCTCCAGCCTGCCTCTGGCCCCTGGCAACCGTCTTTCTACTTTCTGTCTCTATGAATTTGACTCCTCTAGGGACCTCAGATAAGCGGAATCAAACTATATTTGTTGTTTTGTGACTGGCTTATTTCACTTAGCATCTTGTCCTCAGGATTGAGGTTCACCCATGTTGTAGCCGGTGTCAGAATTTCCTTCCTTTATATGGCCGAGTAATTTCCCACTATGGATAGACCATGCTTTCTCCTTCCATTCATTGAGGGATACTTGGGTTGCTTCCATATTTGTCTATAGTGAATAATGCCACTAATGAACACGGGTGTACAAATATCTCTTTGAGACGTGATTTCAATTCTTTTGGGTCTATACCAAGCAGTGGAATTGCAGGGCCGTGTAGTAATTCTATTTTTAATTTTTTGAGGAATTTTCATACTCTTTTCAGCTGTACCATTTTATATTCCCACCTATAGTGCACACTGGTTTCAATTTTTCCACATCCTTATCAACACTTGTTATTTTCTCTCTGTGTGTGTGTGTGTGTGTGTGGGTGTTTAGTAGTAGCTAGTAGCCATCCTAGTGAGTGGTCCAATTTGGCCTATTAATGATCCCTCTGTACATTTTCTATACATTTTCCATATGTCCTTTTCTACTGATTCCAGCTTTGCATGGAAGAAAAGAAAAATAAATGAAGAAAAAAGAAAATTCTTTCTTCTGACTTTTTGTCATTTCAAGTTGTCATCCTAAGTGATGTACTTTGAGGCAAAGGGTACAGAAAGAGCGTGTGTTTGGGGCTCAGATGGGCCCCAGTCTGTCCGTCCGTCCGTGCATCCAGCCATGCATCCATCTATCCATCCATCCATCTAGCCATCCATCCATCCATCCATCCATCCATCCATCCATCTATCTATTCTACCTTCCCTCCATATATCCATGCATCCATTCATTCATTCACCATTTATCGAGCAGCTTAAATGCAGGGCATGATCATAACACAGTGGTACCCTAGATGCCCAGTGCTGTCTGTTTACCATGACGAGGATGTTGGGAGCATCTGTGTTCTGGGAGGTGGGGAGAGATGCGTGGACCCGGCAGGAAGCTGTACTCCGCTTCTTGCCACAGGCTGTGTGTATGTATGGCTGTGCTTTGTGCTGTCTGCTCCCGCTTTTACCCTTTCCGTCCAGTCTCATTTGAGGTGCGGCAGGGCCCCAAAGTGAGAGCACTGCGTGGGCTGAGTCAGGAGACTTTGGCCCTGGTCACTTGGCCATTTGCAGCTGTTTAATTTCTCTGAGCCTCAGTTTCCTTAATTATAAAAGGAAAGTTATAGTTCCTGGTCTGCTTGATTCACATGACTTTGGTAGGGAGCAAAGGAAATTACTGTGGATGAAGACACATCATGAGTAACGGGGTGCTTTAAAATGTTGAAATAGTAACTGACACTTTAATCACACTTATTATGAGTGCCAGGCACTGTTCTGAGCTGCCTGCCTGTAGTAACTCATTTAGTTTAATGCTCACAAAGGAGAGAGGTACTGTGGATATTTCCACTTTACTGATAAGCAAACTGAGGCACAGAGAGGCTAAGTAACTTGTGGAAGGTCACACAACCAGCAATGGCACCACCAGGTTTGAACCGGGCAATGAGGTGCCAGAGCCTACGCCCTCCAACCGCTGTAGCATCATGTTTCTGAGAGGTATCAGCCATTTTCATTGTTTCTATCCCTCTCGCATAGCTGGGAAGGGAACACAGCCCCTGGTCTGGAGAACACAGCAGGGCCTCCTGTAATTCCCTGTGAGATGAATAGATGGGCATAGATTGTGTCCCTGCCAGCTTTCCACGGTCCGCAGGTGTGCAGGGACATGGGTAACTCAGATGATGAAACCACACGTACGTGTTAAGAGGAGCCAGATTAGGTGACTGGATCTCATTTGGGGGGGGGCGCGCTGGCTTTCGGCTGTAGATCGTTTGCCTTCCAGACCACTCCAGGGTGAAAGTGCTGATACCCCTAAAAGACTACCGGGCAGGAGTGCTGGATGCTCAGAGGAGCTGCCGACGTTGTGCCTGCAATGTGCCCGCTGACGTGTCGGCATAACTCACCGCAGTGCCAGCCGTTCGGTTCAG